ATATAATTTTTGGTCCATAAAATTTGGATCCATTCACTACAAAAAAACAGTTAATTAGCAACGGAAACAAATTCCGTCACTAATTTTTGACAAACTTTGCGACGAAAACAAATTCCGTCGCTAATTTCTAACAAAATTACGATGCAAAATTCCATCACTAATTTTTTTGATGGATTAGTGACGGAATTTTTCGGTCACTAATTAGTTACGGAATTTCTGTCCGTCACTAAATTTTGTCGCTAATTTGTCAAAAAATTCGTTAATAAATATTTAACGACGGGATTAGTGATGAAATTTTTTCCGTCAGAAATTTTCGTCACTAAATTGTTTGTCACAAAAGTTTTTGTCACTAATTCTATTCCGTCACAATTCCATTACTAATCCGTCACTAATTTTAAATTTTATTATTTTAAATTATAATCTTACAAAAAGTTATATAATAACAATTAAGAATATAATGATTTAAAAATATTTTTAATTATAAAATAAATTGATATATTTGTGGAGTTGGCGTTAATGAAGATATCATCATTCATGTCATGATATACTGAAAATAGAAAGACAATTTCTTAGAAAACTTGTTTATATTTTGTTAAAATAAATTCCTCTTGATTATTAATAATAATTAAAAAATATAATAAGAATATTAACAACTTTCTTATACAAACTGATCATGATATAAGAAAGAAATAATTTTATCATATGTACAATATATTGAAATATATAGTATATGATAGAAATTCAAAACCAAAAAATAAATTTATATGAAGACAAACTAATATTGAAGTGAATTTCGAATTTCAATCATTGAACAATAAAATTTAATAATGATATAATTAATACCCATGATATAGATTGATTTTGGTATCCAATACAAAAAACAAATGGTATATACAAAGAATATTAAGAAAATGAATTACATAGGATATATATACAAGTAGGAGAATATCATAATCTATTCAAATCATTTAATTTTTTATATAGAATAATTTATTAGATTTTATTATAGTAGTTATTTTTTGAATAACAAGATTTTTTTGGCTAATTGTAAATGATTTTCTTCAAATATATAAAACACATATAGATAATATAATATAATGTAATATAATACATATATAATTAAATTTTATATCTTATCAATGTTAATTAAAAATAAATTTAAAAAATATTTATAAAAAAATTATTTATGATTTAAAATTCAAAATTAGTGTAATTAGAAATTAAAATTATATTAAAAATATTTTTTAAAAAATAAAACATTATAAAACAAATAGTAAAACAAATATTTAAAAATTATTTTTTATTAAAATAGTTATGATTAAAATTAATAATATATATGTATATATAATTGTTTGTGTAAAATAATATTATATATATAATTTTACATAATAAATCAACAGGTTCATTGTAGCTCAACTGGTAAAGCCGCACACGCACACAGAGGAGGTCTTAGGTTCAAGTCATGGAGAAGTCACTTTGAGGAGCACACGTGATAGGCAGAGGTGAGGTGACAGCACACGTAGAGGTGGTCATCGGTGATGACGTGGCGATTGGTAGAGGTGCCACGTGGCATTTTAATTTTTCCAAAAATTGGGTTAGCAAGAGAAATTTCTATCAAGAATTAGTGATGGATTAGCAATGGAATTTAATTGGAACAAATTCCGTTGCTAATCCGTCACTAATTCTGCCTCTAAATAAAAAATTCCGTCACTAAAAGCATATTTTTTTGTAGTGATTTTGGTTTTGGTCTCTCAAATTTTAAAGACATGCTTTTAGCTCTTACAATACTTCTGAAAACGATAGTCTATGAGGTGTAATAGTATTAAAATCTATTGAAGCATCATAAATGGTGTTAAAGTAATTATGTCAAATCACCAGATGACATATAATTGGATCTCGTGTGGATAAGAGGAAAAAAAGAATAGGGCTACAAAACACAATGCAGAGAATGATTGTATCAAGGGGATGAATTCTCAAAATATAAGCAGCATAGTGAATAGCTCATTGGACAAATAAAGAAGAAAAAAGGGAGCTAAACAACTGTGTTTTGAGGACCTATCTCTGTTATCAATGCAAAATTGAGATAGGTGCCATCTAGTGAGTTCACATCACTAATTTTATGCAATTTACGACATTTTAACATATTTTAAAACTGTTGCATTTCTAAGGAAACTTACATTTTCAAACGTACTAAATTTCAAAGACTAAAACTTTGTGTTTAAAATTTGAGGGATCAAAACCAAAAACAACCCAAATAACCCAAAAATTATTGAAAAATCTCTCATGATGTAAATGTTTTTCATTTCACACGTAATTAAAGAAAATTATACATAATTGAACTGCAATTCCTGGATTGCGTCTTATCCGTCTTTAGACAAAGTTTAGATATCTTTAGCGTGGGAGATTTTTTTAGCGAATTTTTCGTGATTTATCATGTACATTAAAAAAAACCCAAAGGGATTGAGAAAGCTCAGCGGGGGAAAACACACACACACATAGAGACGCAGACATAAACATGAAAGGCATAGAGATTGGAGAAAGAGTGAGGGAGGTGGTGGCGTCAGGGTGGCTTCTCTGCTTGTCAGCGTTAACCACGCGTCTTTTCCTCTCTTCTCTCTCTTTCTCGTTCCTCTCCACGTTCATCCCAATTCCTTCCCCCACATCCCTCTCTTTATTCTCCTAACAACTATCACATTACTAATCAATCTTATTTTCACATTTTTTATTTAAATATCAGTTTCAACGAATACAAATTTTTGAATATAACCAATATTTATATCCAAAAATACCCCTCCCAGATATATAATCAACACTTATTTTTTCAGACAATTAAGATTCAGAATATTGTGACACTATATAATAAGTAAAATTAAGAATTTAAAATTCTTAATTATGTAATGCATGGATATTGATATGTTTAAATATATGATATGGAATGTAGTATTATAAAAAGGAGAGAAAGTGGGTGGGGCAATTGGGAAGTTGGCGAGTGTGACAAACTACTTGCACCTTACAGCTATGCCCCTATCGCCCTCCCCACTTTTCCTGCTCTTCCCACTCCACAATACTTGCTTCCCTCCTCTCTCTCCCCCCCCCCCCCAACATTCACTTCTTTATCTGCTTTCTATCTTTCCAATATAGTTAAGGCTGGTTTAGATTCACGATTCATATGACAAGACTTCTCTCGTGTACTTATCTCATATTTTATAAATCACAGTAAAAAAACTGTGTATAAACTATTTACAAGTTATTCTAAACAAACCGTGTTTGTCCTTTTAAGTGGGAAAAAGATTACCCCAACCATCACCACGAAGCTGCATTCCTTCACTCATATATATGCGCCTTGCATAGGACTTAGGTTACAATATATGCAAAGACTGAAATTAATGCTTCTTTTTTTTTTTTTTGGACGTGCGGTTTCCTTTTTCTTTAGAACTTGGGATACTTGTCCCCTGCACCGTGGGATTTCTTCTGAAGCTACTAGTTTATTTACTCTGCAGTACTGAAATATTATTTTGAAGAGATGAGAGAGAGAGAGGTAGAAGTCTGTATAAAGGAAAGTAGCAAAATAAAGAGATGAAGATGACAGGAATAGACCCGAAAGAAGCGGGCAAGGAGACACGTGTCGTGGTATCCGCGAGTGGACCTCAACCCTTGAGAGCTTAGACTTTGAGGATATAAACATGGAATTTGCAGACCACTCCAAATTGCTGCATGTGGCTTTCATAGAAAGTTGAACTCTCTCTCTCTCTCTCTCTCTCTCTCTTCCCCCATACATACATATGTATGACAGATTGACACAGCCCAGTTTTAAATGTGCCAGCTATGAGCTTTCACTTATAAAATCTGCCATACTTGTACCACCCCCTCCATATGTTCCTTCATTTCTATTTCATCCATTATGCTTATTCAATTCCCACCTAGCTAACCACCAAAACCACAAAGGAAAAAAAAGAAACCATAACAACAACAACATTTAACAGATACCTTAAACCTTCCCACATATATGTAGTTTTAGGTTACAACCTATGATCCATCTTACCCTAACTTCATCTCACCCCAGTTAAGCAATTCATAAAACGCAGACAACCTAATAAGCATATGTATCGTCTCCTAAAACTTTCGCAGTTAAAAGCTATATATATATAGTTCATAGACTTCTGGGTCTTTTTAATTGGCTTCAAGTATTAGAGTAGAGTTGACCATACACACACACACACACGCGCTGTACAACAGACGATGATATAGTTCAGCTGGAGTAGTTTAGAATGATGGGGAAGATTTTAAGAATGAAAATATGGATGGAGTTTTCTTGCTTTCTGGATATATGTGTATATATAATAAGGTCAAAGTCTCCTATAGGGTAGAGATTATTGTAGTACTTTTGACTGAGTATAAATATGAGAGTTAAACTTGGGAAACTGAAGGACGACCTCAGTAATGAGGCTTGTATGGAAACCTTTGCTTTTGCCTCTAATTATCAATAAAACAAAAGGAAGGTCAAAACTTATAAGAACTCTGTACTTTGGTTTCTCATCTTTTACAATATGAATCATTCCATGTTCTATACACGCGTCACACGCAACAGACAATAATAATCTCCCTGCTTCATCAACTACACAACTTGCTTACATCCTAAAAGCCATCAAAAAGACGAAACAACTCACTGAATTAATTTAAAAAAAAGAAAGAAATATTTTTATCATTGCACGTACGTATTTTTAACAGTTGACAATTTTTTTTTGGGTGTTTTTGAAGGATAAATTTCAACATATACAAGTGTATGTGCGTTTATGTTCTTGAGGGAGAAAACTGGTGGGACCCATCCACCGCCCACAATCACGCAGTCTTATCAAAACCAAAATAATTTTTTGGATCGATTTTGCTGAATATCAAACCCTAACCCCTCCGATCCATCCGAACACTAGCCAGCTCTCTCTCTAGCTAGCTACTTGCTGAAATAAAGAGAGAAAACACTCCAAAACCTACCCTCCTCTCTCTTCTTTTTCTCTAGTTTCTTTCTTTCATCACTTTCTCTCCATCAAAGCGCTAACGTGTCTTTCGTCTTTGGAGAGCAGCTCAAGCAAATTCAGTTCAACTTGTTCTTCTCTAATTGATTGATGCCCTAGAAAGTCACATCAATTTCTCTCCCTCCAACACCAACAAGATCACACACAGAGAGGTACTATATCCTCAAGCCAAGATAAACAATCTCAGAAGCTATATATGTATATTATATAGCACCGCCACTGTATGTACTGTTAGTTTACTTCTGATTCAGAATTCTGCAGCTACTGTGAAAGCTTATTATCGATCTGAAGAAGGAGGAGAAGAAGAAGAAAGTGATCTGTCTGAATTTATTTGAGAGAAAAGCATTCGTTGATGGACCCAATTACAGCACATCCTCATTCTCTTCCTCCTCCATTCCACACTAGGGATCTTCATCCACACCATCAATTTCACTCTCTCCATCAAAACACAGAAGATGAGCAAAGCGGAAGCAGCGGCGGCCTCAACCTCGCTCAGAAAAGGGATCGAGAAGAAAACAGCAACAGCGAGGGGAAAGAGATGGCGGCGGCGGCTGGCGCCGGCGAAGGTGAAATCACCAGAAGACCTCGAGGAAGACCTGCCGGCTCCAAGAACAAACCCAAGCCGCCTATTATTATCACGCGCGACAGCGCAAACGCGTTAAGAACCCACGTCATGGAGGTGGCCGACGGCTGCGACATCGTCGAGAGCGTCTCCAACTTCGCACGGCGGAGGCAGAGAGGGGTTTGCATAATGAGTGGGACTGGCACAGTAACGAACGTTACTCTGCGGCAGCCAGCTTCTCCCGGAGCCGTCGTCACTCTCCATGGAAGGTTCGAGATATTGTCACTGGCCGGATCATTCTTACCCCCGCCGGCTCCTCCGGCCGCTTCAGGATTAACCATATATTTAGCAGGAGGACAAGGGCAAGTCGTCGGAGGAAGCGTGGTTGGGACACTAATAGCTTCCGGTCCAGTGGTGATCATGGCGGCATCGTTCAGTAACGCTGCGTATGAAAGGCTTCCTTTGGAAGAAGATGATCCCTCCATGCCGATTCAAGGAGGCGGCGGCGGCGAAGGCGGAATCGGGTCGCCAGGAGGTGGCGGTCAACAGCAAGCGGGACAGCTTTTAGGGGACGGAAACGCAACGGCTCCACTTTTCCATGGTCTGCCTCCGAATCTTCTGAATTCTATACAGATGCCATCAGAAGCGTTCTGGGCTACAGGTCGCCCTCCATACTGATGAATGACGATGATGTTGAAGATGATGACACCATTTCTCAAACTTGGTTTGGGACATTATCGAAACGTCCAAGGTACGAGACCAAGCCGAGATATAATATTGCTTGCTTTTGTTTAGCTTTTGTGTGCGAGTTTGATGGCGATGATGATGATGATTAGATAGTATGTTTAATCAATTCCTACCTCCATCAATATTGAGACTGTAAATTGTGATTGTGATATGATTATGATATATCCTTCTGGGTGAGTTTGATTTCGTGAGAGTTGAGAATAACAAGTACATTTCGATTTCCACATGAAGAAGGTGGAAATTGAAACTTAGCTTCTTGTTGTAGTAGTGGTAGTATTATTACTAGGAGTAGTTATCGGAAACAGAAGAAGAACAAGGACGAAGAGAATAAGGTTACTATAATTCTCGCCTAAGTAGTAGTGTTGTGCGTTGATTTGTAAGACTTTCTCGATCAGTTGTTGATTATTAATTCATTGAATGCAACTTCTCTCTCTATTGTTCTTCTTGGCCTGCTGTGATCATCGTCAAACATATATACATATCCTAATGCATGCATGTATGTGTATATCATATATGGTATCAATTTCTGATGGGAGAGCTTGTATTATAGTAGCTAGCAGAAGAATCTATGTGAAGGTAAGTTCATTATACGGTGGAATGGATCGCAAATTTCAATACTCATTGAAACAGTGCGACAGTTTCGATGGTTAAGGTTATATTATATATTTTGCGGAGTGGTTATAGTTAATTAAATCAAATGGTTCACACATGCATTGTCTGATCAAAGCTCCTTTCCGAGGCAGTCATCACCAAAGCTAGTTTTTCATTGAAAAGCATCCATAATCTTTAACATAATAATAAGGTTTCGATCCAGCCGTTATGTGTGTGTGCGCGCGCGCGCAGCCCCACCCCCCTCCCCTTCTCTCGTTCCTCATATGAAGCTTCAGGTTGAAACTTGCTTTGCTTCAAAAAGCTGGCCTAGCTAATTGCAAATTAATCATGAACTCCTAATAATTAGGTCGTTTAAGGTCGCTCTTTTGGCTTATGTCTTTGTTGATGTAACATTTCTAGCTACTGTATATATATCTCTCAATGTCACTCTAATGTGTTGGTCAAACGATTTTATAGTGACACAGAGAGAGGGGGGGGGAGAGAGAGAGAGAGAGAGAGAGAGAGAGAGAGAGGATTATACTGTTGAGCTAACTGGTTTATTATTATTGTCTCAATTAAAAGAGAGAATATGTTGCTTTAATTTCTTCGTTTGGCTGCAAATACAATTATGTTATATATATGGTGGTAGGTGAGTTGTCAACCTATTCTTGGTTGGAACGAAGCTGAAACCAAGTTTGGTTCTTCATGTTGCGGCTCTATATATCCTCTACATGTAATCCTGTCAACCAAACCTTATTCTTTCCTCTTCCCATGTTCTATCCTTTTAATTAATTATTTTTCTTCACACCAAAAATTGGAGCTTTTCTCTTCTCCTTCCCCACTTTTGCATCGGGCCAATTAATTATATTAACTATTCATGTTAGAGAGGTGTTAATAAATTTGTCATAAATTAAAATATTTTTTTAATTATAAGGGCAACCCAACGATTTAAAATTATGAGCAGGATCCAACTTATAACTTCTTATTTTTATAGCATAGTTTTTATATATACCGCTATATTGCAAGGCATTGGCATAAATATTGCAACTACACAAAAAGTAGGAGACTTGCGACGGAACTTTGCAATGTCCAAAATTCCCTTTTTGAAAAATATTTTCTTGGTACTTAGAATTTGAGCTAGACAACTAATTTATAAATATTAAAAAAAATTAGTTAAGCTACTTCTCTGTATGAACTAGTCATTGTATCCTCTTTAATCATTTGCCATAACACTATATCTTGATGAAACTCCTCTTAATATGTGCAATTAATATTAATAGTCTGTGAAAAAATTTATAAATAAGAGATAAAATAAATTGAAGTATTATATTTAAGACTAAATTTAATCTCTCAATGAATTTCTATATTAGAGATCAAAGAGAATAGCACAGACTATATGAAACCAGTGAGCGAGTTATTCCTAAATAAATTGTCAAATATTTGTTTCTCCTCCAGTCCTCTTTGACTAATTAGTCGGAAGGTAATTATGGAATATTTTTAGAAATCTAAGGACTGTATAACAAAATTGTTAATAATAAAAAACACGCACAGGAAACTTAATTGGTGGTTAAGTGTTTGAAACTCTCGTATCATGGGGACAATTTTACATAAGCATCTTTAACTTTAACTGACAAAGGGAACGCATGCGACACGATTCTGCTTATCATTCTTGAAGAAGACAAAAGAATCTTATCATTAATATATCATTCGTATTTTTGAAACAATTAGATATAATAAAGCTTGCCTCCTATTATTTCTCCTATTGTCCTTTGTTCCTTCACGAGTTCTTCCTCTCATTTGACAAAACTTCGGCTTCGTCACCTTTAATTTTAATATGAATAAACTAACATCAAAAATGAAAGTTAATCTTTTAGTTTTTATAATTTTGACTCGGTTTTAATTCAATTCGTAAATTTTAACAAGTGTAAAACTTAATCTTTGTAGTTTTGACATATAGTTAATAAAAATCAGTCCTTAAACTTTAATTCATTGCAATTCAATCCTTATAATTTTAATCATTTAAAACTTTAGTTCCTCAACTTCATGTTATATATGATTTTATTTTTCCAAAATTCAAGAACCAATATTTTAAATAGTGCAAAATATGAGGATTGAGCTGCATTAAGTTAAAATTCATAAATCGAGTTGTAATTGAGTCAAAATTATAAGGATTAAAAGTTCATGAACTGAGTTGTAGCCAAATCAAAACTAAATTAATCTATATAAACATTTAAGGACTAAATTACAATCAAGTTAAAGCTATATGTATATATATAGGGATCCAAAAGATTAATTTATCCAATATAAAATTTTCCTACAAAGGTCTCATTATTCCTGCCTCAGTAACCCCATGCCCGTGTCAATAACGTTTGATAATGTCTTCCTAAAGTTATGAAATCATCATATTTTTCACTAACCGTATTTCTAATGTAGTAATAATAATGATTGTTAACTCTTACTAATGTCCGAATAAAATTATATCAACGGTAGGGAGGATGCCCCATTCAAAATTAACCAAGCAGAGCACAATATTGTTTACCGTACTGTTTTGTGGGCGTTTTCCACCAAAAAAAAAAAGGCCACCCAAGAAATATTGCATGCACAAGCAGAGACAGAAAGGGGAAAATTAACCAATGGGAGTTGACTCTAGTGAATACAATGTCACGTAGTGAACCAATGTTTAAATTTTTATTACAAGAAGTATCCACATTTAATGTTTAAAATTAACCAACAGGATTGGGTTTAGTATAATAGATTAATTCCTCATATTGTAGCAGGGTTCAAGTATGTATTAAAAGATGTGCCCACATTTAATACATAACAATGTTTCGAATAGGATTATCTTTAATAAGGGAAGAGAATATCTGTGCCTAGCAATAAAAATGCAAAATTTAAAAAAAAAAAAAAAGAAGAGGAGGAGGAGGAGGAGGAAAGCCTAAAGGGAACAGGATCCTCAATACTTGTGTTTAACTTTAAAGTCTGTGAATCCAACTAATCCAAATGTTTTCACTTATCTTTTGTTTCTGATTACTCTGTTACCAACATATTAGTTGGATTATAAAATTTAGTCATCAAAATTTCATTCACTCTTTTTTTTTGTTTTTGGGAGATAAAGGCACATGACATTAATAGTAAAAAGTTTTACAGGTTAAAAGTTATAGTATTAGGAGAAAAATAAGAACTTAAAGTAGCAAAATATTTAAAAGTGGCAGTGCCGTAAGTGATTGAGTGAAAGAAAACTAATAAATTAATAATATCTTGCTGAATATTGCTGGCTTGCTACTACTTAAAACCCTTGAGAGAGAGTCCTTTCCTTCCTACTATTGAGAGGTGCAAAGCTTTACATTGTGTTTGGTACAGGGTTTTTAGAAGGGAGGAGAGAGGAGTTGTTCCCCTCCACTTGTTTGGTTAAGATATTTTTAAAGAGGGGAGGGGTTCTTTTCTCCTCCTCTTCTTTTCTAGCCTCCCCTCCAAAAGTGGGGTTTTTTAGAGGGGAGATGAGAGGTAAAATTTTAAGTTTCAAAATTAGCTTAACTAAAATACTTTAATTCCTCATATACCCTGTCGATTTGTTAACCCTAATCAGTCGTAAACATTTCTACATAAGAGAGTTCTTTTAAATATCTAGCAAGAGGTTGTCGAGATAGTTGTCTCCAAAATTAGTGAGCATTGTTGAACCTTTTTTTTCTCTTCTTCTAATTCCAAGAGGCCGTCAGTATTTTCTTTCACCTTCAATGACTTTTTTCTAATTGAAATCTATCACTCACGACATTTTATCTTATATCCTATAAGTGTGTGATTGTGTCTTGTAAGTCAAAATTAGTGAATTGCATTATATATATAGTTATATTTTGATAAAATAAAAAAGTGAGAAAATTCATTTAAATTTTGAGGTTAAAATAGTCAATTTTTTATTAGAACAAAATAAGGTATTATTAAAATTGCTCCCTCCCCTTTCCTCCCCTCACCTTCCCTTGATTAAAATCCCTTCCCTCCCCTTTCTTCCGTCAAGCCAAACACAGCGTTAATCTCAAGTGACAGCAACTCAGACTGATGAATCTAATATAGTGAAGCTCAAAGACATCCAAATAAAAAATCTCACCCAGTTAAATAATTTTATGTTTAAAAAAAAGCTAAAAATAGTATTTCCTTGTCATTTAATTTAAAGTTTCTTACATATGTCACCAGGGAAAACAAATCTTAACTACTATTTTTTGTCACTAATATAGAAGCTAGTTTGAAGTTAAATTTGATCATAAATATAAAAACTTTAATTCACTTTGCCTTTTAAATTTATAATTATTTCTAAATATCTCTATTGATTATACATATTAAAGAAGTTTTCATAAAAAAAATAAGTCCAATACACATGATTAAATATGATAGTTTAGAAAAACCAACATACATTTGTTACAAATAATCAACTTAACTGTTATTCTTAATATCTGTAAATTAACTATCTAACTCTTATATCAAAAAATAGAAGTAATATATAATTCCCAAATCATATAACAAAGCTCAAGTTATTCTATGCTTCTGGCCCAGGGGAAAATAATCTAATGGTGTCTCGGCAGAAATAATAATACTAAGTCAATCTTATGTTAAGAGCCGGAGGTGGTACCACATGATCTAATAAAAGTGAATGCGCATGTGTTGGCTTATGCAAGCCATATCTCATGAGAAAGCAAAGGTTCCTGGGTAAACACTTCTCAAGAATAGAATTGGGGCCACACAATACAAAGCATCATTAATCAACAAATCAATGCTTGCCGTCGTGAAGGGCAACGAGCATACATACAATCCGGGAAGATATACAAAATTATCTCTAGCCTTCCAACTAAAAATTCATATACAAATCAATTGATTTTACATACAAGCTAGACAGGATCAGGCAAACTTGAGAGAACCCACATGAATTAAAATCAATTAATATTATGGCCACCCATTGATGACCAGCCAGCTACATACCCAACTCTACTCTATGCTGCCAAAATTTCAGCTAGAACACTGAAGAATGCCTCCTTTCTTGTGTTACTTGTAATATCTTCTGCATTTTAAAGCCCGCTTTAATTTGGTCTACAAAACTATCTTCAAACGCCTCATTTCAGCTTGGAAAGTCGGGCTGCCAACTAAGGTTCGATGCGCAAGTGTCCTTATGTCTTCTCTTGAACAATCTCTCGATATACGAACTAGCTCCCACAGAGCACCTCCGGTAATCATTTCCTTTGCGTTCACTTCTGCATCACATCAAACACAATATTTCAGAGGACTTGCTTCCATGAAGCTTCAGTTCTAGGTTGTTGGCAGACGCTTACCATGTTGTGCTAGGTGACACAGTGCAAGCTCTATATGTCGCCTAATCGATGAGGCTTCATTATTGGCACTCTGTACAATCCATGGAAGAGCACCATCCTCAATAAGGAAAGACCTCCCGGTCTTTATTCCTGTAGATATATGGTCGTTGCATTAATGAAACAGGACTAATAATTTTCTTCGATAACCAAAGTATGTCGACTATGACAAGTGAACTAGGAAAGTAATGCACGAATGAGAAGGAAGACATGAGAAACATGTCAAAGGTAAAGAGGAGTTTTAGTTACGACACCATTCAGAAGGAAATATCCATGTCGTCACATAAGATAAAGATAGTAATCCATTATATGGGCCACTTACCTTGAGTAGAAGCTCTAGACTCACATTTCGCAAAGTTTGCTATCCCACGAGCAATCTGTGCATGGACATCAGGATGCCTGCATCTAATCATTCCGAGCAGAGCCTTGATACCACCTTCGCCCCTCAGCTTTGTTTGTAACTTATCTGTTTGTCACATTTTACACTACTAATCACTTGTCATTCTACATATTTAAACATGTTGTATCGTGGATGGGTTCTTAATCCATTTGCAAAGGCAGTAGAAGGAATGGTTAGCTGACAAAGCAGATTATTGCATACAATAATTAGTAAAACGAGCAACCTCAATGAGTTTGTTGTTGACCAACATCTATCTCATTATTATTGGCAACAAGTCAGGGAATTATAATACAACTTCTACATTGCAGTAAGCGCTTCAACTTTACAGTGCTGGCAACCAACATAATCATAAGGCATTATAAGATCAGCGGTTTACCATTGCCACAAAGATTAGCAATAGCTCCAGCAACCATTCGTAGGGTCTGAGGATCTTCAGCATTAGATGCAGCCATTGACAACAAACTAATGCCCCCTTGTGCCATAATGAGTTCCTGGTTGGTTTCTGTTATGACACAAAATAAGTTTACAGATCAAGAGAAAAACAAGAGCTCCATTAATAATCTAATTAAGGTTGCATGGTTATGATTACAGTTGAGAATTTGTACCATTCATTGCTAAATTCGCAATAGCACCTGCGGCAACTCTATGTATGATCTCATCTTGGGAGCTCTTAAGTAGCATAAGCAAGGACTTGAGACCACCTGCTTCTACAATCTTCTCCTGATTTGTTTCTACAACACCAGGGTGGAAAGAAGTTAATGCTAACGGATCTAGACGTGATGTCTATAAAGCAACAAATGTAGTTTAGAGGGAGAAACCCCACTTGTTTGATGCAGCATCATGTAATAAACCAAGCCTCATATGTGATAAATATTGGATCACAGAGGAGGTTTGAATGGAAGCAATGACAGTTTTAAATACCCTTTTGCCTTGTACTTGTCCTTATATGATTTTTAACAGAATCAGGAACACTGAGAGTTAACATATTCCACAGGTTTGTTCGATTCGCATCTAATAACCCAAACCACAAGACATGTTAACTAAGTGTTCCCCCCTTCCACACGTTAACGTCTTTCCCCTAGGAGAAGCATACATATGATTTTTTAACACAAGTAGGCAATATAGAAAACCTTCAGCTGCAAGATTTGCTACGACTTTTACAGCATGGATTCGCACATCAGCATCTTCAGCTTCAAGTAATGACAAAATCCTCTGCAATCCCACTGAGAAATATTTTTATCATTAGGGAAATTTAATTTCAAAAAGGCACAGTAATTTGTTAATGAAATATGTCAAATTGTAAATGCATGCAATGGGTAATGCTACTACCTTGTTCAAAGAGCTTAGCTATCGAGGCCTTTTCACCATTACCAGAAGGTTGTTGCTGTTTAACTTGGGAAGTAAGAGAATCAGGACCACTAGCATCTTTTGCAGATCCAGGTCTGCCAAGTTGTCGTCGTGACTAAGACATACATGCAAATACAATAGAAGTAATGAGTTCAGGTCAACAAACTAAGAGCCTTTTAGGAAGGCAAACAATGTCAGGAACACTAGACATGATGCAAAACCAGTCACGCTTTTATAGAAAACCGCTGAAATAACAACTGATCAACTAATTAACTACAAAACAAAAAAGGAAAAGACCAACTATGACATTGGTACAATGTTGATACAACTTACCTCATCAGCCTCAATGCTCAACTGCAATAATTGACTTTGCAGTATTGCTATTTCTCCTTGAAGTTTCTCTTTCTCACGTGCTTCATCTTCCAACTTCTTATGAAGTTTTAAAATTTCCAACTTTCCTGATGCCTATCACCATAGCATCCAAGTGAACAGTAGCCAAGATTCAAAATAGATGAAGAAAGCACATGCAAAGTAGAACTCAGGTATTAGAAACACAAAAATATACCTCTGACTTTTTCAGTTCAGTGAATTGAATTTTGAGACTATTAACTTCCTCTTCAGCAGCTTTTCTTGAAAGAGTCTCTTTCTGAAGCATTATTTTCAGATCAGCTGCCTCCTCAGCAGACAGCTAAGAGATCAAGGGGGAAAAACAAGGATGTCAACCACTGACTTAACATGAAACCAACGTTATTGGCCAAAACAACATGAAACCCATCCTCAATTAGGAGAACAGGCCCAACTACAAGCACAAGTACAAAGTGATGTGGAAAATCAGATTCTTCCTTTGATCTGCAAAATATCTTGCTCTTCTACTCTGTTAAGGAATCTATTTCTTACCACTCGGAAATCACTTGAGACCAAATACAGTATAATAAAAATCACTACCTCTCCATTTGATGTTGGATGAGAGTTCTCATTCTTCCGTTGCATCATCACCATCTGCTCTTCAAGCTTCTTAACTGATTCCAAATAGTCTTTCTGATATTTCAATCTTTCCTTCTGAGAATAAGGAAAATTGTCATTTCACCAAGAAAGTATAACTCGACTGACATAAAACTCAACCACATTCCATGCCCTCAGCAAACTCAAAACATCATCTTTTCACATGCTATCATGTCCAAGACAGAAGGTGATACTATGGATATGTAACATCAGAGAAATGTAACTGCATGGCAGCGGCAGTGAAGCTATTTTACAGAAATGGGACATACAAATCTATGGTACAGATATAAAACCCCCCCAAAAAAAGGGGAAAAGTGTAGAAACAAACCTCCAATGCATCACCATACTGTTTTTCAGCCTCAGATATCTGACGTTTTGCTTCTCTGCTTAACCTCTCAATCTCATCTTCAAATGCCTTCTGCTGCCTCTCATGCTCCATACTGAGTCTGTCTAACTGTATATCTAGCGTTCTAGATAAGCTTTTGTAATCAAATTCCTCCTTTAATTTTACCATGTTTTCCACCTTCATAGCCTACAAGTTGCACAGGTAATTAGCATCTTCATAATGATTACAGCACACCCACTTTTATTTTATTATAAGCAATATCTCTGAAATAAATTGAGAACAGTCACGTGTCTTAATTACGAAGTTCTGTCTACACATAACACAGGACGTCAAAACAACTAACAAAAAGAACATGGGACACCTAGCATATAAAATCATCCAGAATTAACCTATTGATCAAACACAAAACCTCACTTATCAGATGTAGGCCAGGGAAGTTGAGAGAATAAAGAAAATAAGCTATTGAATTTGCAACTTACCCTCTGACCAAACATTATAGTACTGGCAGTCTCTCCCCTATGACGTGGAGATGGACCAATGGTAATGACCAGTGAAGTTCTCGCTGTACCTGTTAGAGCTTCAGATGTCAGGAAACTCATACTACAACCTACAACAAATCTGGTTCATGAAAACCGAATATGCAAAATATCCTGTGACAAATATGCATTGCACTGTCTAAAAGAAGTGAAAAAATAATTATGCATTGCACAGTACCAATACCATCAATCAAGAACAAATCAACCGATTAAATTATTCATGAAACTTCTCATTCAAGACATAGCTTTGACTACAATGATCCAATATATTAAAGTGACTTCAGATAAATTTGCCACGAATGCTTTTAAAAATAATTTTTAAATGTGCACACATTAACAGTGATTCGCTATCCATTCTTGAAAAGTTAATAATATTGCGTGAAGTGTCCCAAGCTTCACAATTTATTACTGTTAGGTACATGACAAATGTTTTCCAAAATAATTCTTCAATTAACTATTAATAAAATGTTCTATCCCAACAAATCATTGCCATTGTAGGTGGTATAGTGCTGTATAGTCAGAAAGCTAAGCTCAAGCCAACACAAAAGAGAATAAGAAAAATGATGTGGTCCTTGTATTAGAACACCCTTACCTCCAAATGAATCACGTAATAATCTAGTAAGCTTTGAGTCACGGAATGGCACATGGGCACTGTTCTCAGCAAGAGCATTGATACACTTGCCCAATGCACTTAAGGACAGATTGATAGATTTAGCTTCCTCAAGTGTATGTCCTTCACTTCCTACCAAGAAAAATGATGAGTATATAAGTTAAAGAAACTTCTTATCTCTGAAATTTAACTAATATTCATCTCATCTATGGAAGACTGAAAACAAGGCAGACAAACAAGCAGGAAGATATGATATTGGAATATAAGCAGACCGATTGGCCAAATAGAAAATAAATGCAAGGGCACATCAAGAAATATAAAATAAGAGGAAAATGGAGAGAAAAATGGATGGTAGCCTCAAAGAATAGCTTCAGCTTATACCAAGCGACCATAGAGATCACAAAATCTCTATCAATCTTCTAACCTGACTTATCAATGCGCTCTGAGCCAGCAAGATCCACTACCACCAACTTGCCTTTCTGAACAACAGGTGGTTTTAATGATTTAATCATGTGTGAGTGATTGCCATTTTCATTTGAAAGACCTGAATCCCTTCCCTTCACAGATCTCTTTACGTGCACCTACAAATAATTAAAAGCAAATCCCTAACAAGCTAAAAAATCAACAATTTGAAATATTGCACATTAACTTCTACGAATAAAAGAGCAAAATTATCACCCAAAGTGTAATTTACCATAAGAATAGCATGACTTCGTGATGATTCTGTATTCAATTTTGTATTTGCAGCAAAGCGGTGGGCCTCCCCTAATCTTAGCAGTTCTACAAAACTCTGCTGGTCCCTAATTTCAACTAGCTTAGCCCCTGGTAGTGAAACATCTCCTGTTTTGGGGTCTTCCACAATGGATATGTTATCATTAGCAGGGTCTAGAAGATCTTGAATAGTCTCCATATAAAGCTGAACAGGAGCACCAAAAGCCATAACATCTTATTAACATGCAATATTTTTTAATCATCTAAAATCAAATTCAAGACTTCAAGGTAGTTTAATAGGACACTTATACCCAGAAAAGACATATCTATAACCAAAAACGGTAGTAATAGTAGGGATAGCTACAATTTAGGAACTCTGGGAAGAGAAATTTCCAATTTAGGAATGAAATATTAACCCACAGAATGGCTAATATTAATATCATGTGTTTGTGTGCATATATACACACCACTCTTCAATTAAGGTCCCCATTTGGAAATTTCTTTACCAACAGTTCCTAATCCGCAAATCTCTTAATTTTTTGGTAAATGTCAAGTACCTGTAGATAGGACACTGAGACTGAATCAGTTTCCAAAGAGACAACAGCTAAAATATCCTCCATGGCACGCACCATTATTCCACGTGCAGCAGTGTCTTCCTCCCCAAGTCGTCCAAGAGTATAAGTTTTACCAGTACCAGTCTGTCCATATGCCATGATTGTCCCATTGTAACCATCCAATACACTCTGTAGGCGATGAACTAACATCTGTTAATAAAAGGAACTCTCCCAAGAAGAAAGAGCAGGGGTAACCTAGCTCTTGGTTTCAAAATAGAAATAACTCTTCTTAACTTCTTTTTGTCATAACACAGCAATCAAGTTTGGACAATGAATTCTAGAAACAATTGGATATGCTCCAATATGCATCTTCCAAAACCAAGTGATCATCAATACAAGATTAATCACAAATCACTTTATCATAAATACTGACCTCCACAACAGGCCTGGCCACAACTTCATAAACTCGCTTTTGTGAAGCAAATTCAGTGAGTACCTCATCAAATTCATAAGTTTCAGAATCCCAATTGTGCTTCCGAAGTTTTAACCTTTTGAGCTGCAATAAAGCTAGATTAGTGTGAATACCGGCCTAAGATCCGTGCAAAGATGTCCCCAAGACCCTATTTGTCAACGAGTAAGAAAAGGGTCCAAATTCTGAAATTGAATTAGAATACCTCTGGCTGGAGTTCCACACAGTCAGCATAATCAGCATCAGCCACCATTTCCTCTGCATTTCTGGGTCTCAATCTAACCGCCACTCTCACTCTTCCAGGAACTTCAAACAAGCACGTTAGGGCCAAAGTAAGACCACTAATTTAAAACTTAGCTTCAATGAATTTGGCATGTGTTTTTATGCATTGATTACTATTTAAAACACAAGTCAGCACAGACGCCTCCCTAGTTATCGTTGGAGGCAAAAAAGAAAGTAAATTAACTACAATAGTTATAGGAGGCTTCAGAGTGCATTTGAATAACAAACATTACACTTCTTTTGTTTTTTTCCCCCCAATCTCACTTTGCTGCAAGTCTAACGCTCTAACTACATTCTTTTCTTTTTGGTAAATAAAAATTTAAATTTTGCAAGACCAAGGCCATGCCATGCAGGCTTTACAGCTCAAAGAGTCCATCAAGAAGTCTAACGATCTTCATTGGCAATACTCTAACTACATTCATCATTATGAAGAACTAAATTTCCGATTAGCATTAATTTACATGGTCAACTCATGCAGCAATATCTTTGGCCCAATTTTTTTTTTTTTTAAAAAAAAATCATATATTTATATCTTGTTAAACTCCGGAGATGAAATTTTTGGCCCCCGAAGCGATGTGAGCATTCCAAGCTGGGAATTTGGCAGGTGATTAGACAACCTAGAACTACTCGTTTACTTTCAATCCCAGATGACCAACAATTAAGGCGTAATTTCAAATTATTGAAGCACGAAGCAATTACTTGAACGAATAACCGCCCAAAAAATGGCGTGAGGCGAAAGATCTCAAATTCCGAACCATGAAGTATACCGATTACCAATATTATCCGCATAGGCTAACAGAGAGGAAAATGGAGGAACTGACCTCCAGCGTCGTCCTTGGAAGCTGCGGAAGAACCGCCGATGGTGCCGGTGCTATTCCGGCGTTGACCGGTCGAAGACAATGGCTTTGACTTGACATGATTCTTGGGGTTCGAGTTTGCAGAGAGAGGCCTGTCCGGCTTGAGCGAGCTTCTGTAATTATGTGTGCCATTTCTAACAACATTGCTACCACCAGAGGTGGCCATTGTCGCAAGCAACGAAATTCCAACAGGGTTTTGCTATAACGTTTAAAAAATTGATTAAAAGTGGAAGAATGATAGTGATGAAAGTGGAAATGCATAAACAGTAGAAACCGGAGCGACGCTAAAAATTCGTGAATCGTGACGCAGAAAAATTAGAGTTCGGGTTACGCTTCGTAACTTCCAGAGAGAGAAAAATGAGCGTGTAATTTGACTTCAGTGCTGCACAGAAGAGAGAGATGAATTAAAGTAGAAGCTTTTTTTGCTTTCTGCACGGCGGGAGGGACGGTCCAGTAATCAAATCGTGGGTCCGCATCGTCCTCTTTTCGAAAATAACTTTCAATTTTTACCACATTAAACAATTTAAAAGTACGAAAACTAAAAGTACTTTAAAAAATCGCAAAAAAAATCCAACCCCATCAAATCCGCAGAAGATTTGAAAACTTTTTTAAAATATTTATAAACATATTTTATATAAATTAAAATAAAATTTTTCTCACATACTTATTTTATATTTTATAAATTATAATTAAAAAATTTCTTACAAGTTGTTTTAAACATGTCACATTATTCTAAACATGTCACGGAGTTGTAGTGGCGATCCCCATCTGGGAAGAGATGATGGGGCGCGTCAGAGAGAAGAAAGCATGAACTGCCAGAAACAAACAATGCAGATTCAGAGGAATACAAGACGTGGGAATCAAGCATAATAGTACTACCAGATCAAGATTACTTGCATATAATCCAACACGTATTAGCGTACATTTCCATTTGCATACAAGTAAAATTTCGAGATCAGTGTTTGTTTATTCTCAAGGAATTAGTCACTGTTGAAGCGAAACTGCCTTTAGCGTGTTGTGCTGGAGTCAGCAAATTTGTTTCGATTATTAGTATGGTTTGCTCTGCCCGTTGTTGCACAAAACACAACAAGATGTTTGAGCGCTTCTATTTTATGTTTTATCCCAATTTTTAGTTTGATATTCTTTTAAATATAAAACTTATTTTGTAGTGTAATTTACACTATAAAATGAGTCTTATATTTAGGATCGGAGAAAGTATTTGTATAACTTTTCCTTAATTAAATGGTAAAATGATCAAATATATTAATCACTTGTCATCAAAAGTTGCAAAATGATCGTATCGTTACTATGTTTGTAGTGTTAGCACATGTATTTTCTATATTAATTTTCTTTATAATGCCTTACTTTGTTTTGCCAACCATAATGCCTTATTTATTATAACAATTTTATCTTTATGCATTAGAATTCTAATCACTAAATGCAAAGGGTGTTTTTTTATGTTTAACAAAAAAGGGATAATTTTATGAAAAAATTTTACAAAATTTTCAAATATTAATTACAAATAACCATCCTAAATTATTCACTGCTCCCTCCAGTCCTATATATAAATGATAACTAATGAAATTATAATAAATATGTAAGAGATGTAATTTTTTCCCAAATATATGTTAAATGCAATTTAAAAAATATTTTAAAGCGCTGAATACACCATAGAATATTTTAAGATACTTAATATACTTAAAAAACACTTTAGATACTTGATATACCTTTAATCTATAATGAATTAAAGGTAAAAATAAAAAATACATTAAATTTTTTACTTGAAAATTATTAAATTTTTAGACAAATACAAACTGTTTTTTTTTATATATAGGACCAATTAGTAAGGGAGAATGTTGCGAGTATAACATGAAATGATTTGGTGATAGTCTTCATGAGGGGCAAAAATGGAAAGTGATTTAATTGTAAGACAATTTTATAATTTATATGTAAGGCTAAAAAGAGTACATGCTATCGAGCTTTTGTACGCTATACTCCTTATTTGATTTTTGATTATGTAAATCATGTTGTGGAAGAAAGTTATGAATCTAAAATGTAGGTTATCTTCATAAGTTTTTTGGAATATAATACTTGTTTTAAATATAAATAGCCTTCCTTAAAATTTCCAATGTCATTCTTTTATACTGGCCTTTTTAAATTGTCAGTGTTAATTAGAGAGTAAAGATTGAAAACTTATAATTATACGATTTTTAATGAGGTAATTAACTCTCTTGATTGTTGGCAAAAAGAAAATTAACTTGTCATGATTATGATAGAGTAGTTAAAAATTGATTGAATAGAGAATACTATTATTCATTTTTATTCACTCGTTTTGGTACAAAATATAATACTCCTCTAGTCATATTTATAGGACAGAGGGAGAAAGAATTTTTTAGTCATATTTATAATGCAGAGATTGCAACTTTTTACATAAATATACAATTTTGTCCTCTATTTATTATTGTGTGGACTTTGTTCTCGTGAGGTATTATATATATTAAATAGGGTAAATTTGATAAATTATTAAATGTTAAATGAGAGTTAATAAAATTTAAGGTTTTGTTTTGTTTGTGTGAAATATGTTGGAATTAATTTATAAATAAGACATATATATCATTTTATTTCTATTTATAAGTTGGAAAAAGTTTGTTTCTAAATATAAGTAACTTGTAAGGTAATTAATGAATTTTTTTCAATTTTACCCATGTTGACTTAATAAATGTAGAGAGAGATAAAATAAATAGATGAGACTAAATATGAAACATATTTTGATTCCTTTTCTTTAATAAGGTAAATGTGGGGAAAAATTATGAATTCAATGCATTCCTTGATTCTTGATTTGTGGGCTTGAAGTACAAGTGAGTTATAAATAAGAATAGACCGTTACACATATAAAAACCTTTTTTTCTTTTTCTTTTTTTCCCCATTAAACCATCCGGTATCTGAGGCCTTTTCTGGGCTCTGGTCTTCTTTGGGCTAGACATCCGAACAACCGACTAATCCGGATTTGAGGGGGACAGATTGTGTCTTTGGACGAGTTAGCCCCTCTTCCACCAAAGGCACTTCCCACGAATCGAATTTGTATTTTCATCTTTATGGAAGGCGAAGACTACCTACCATCTTGCCCAACCCCTTGTTGTTAAACCTTTTTGTATTTTTGGTAGCCAAAAAAGTCCTTTTTTCCTAATTTTTTATGATTCAAAATATAAGCTTTCATTTAATAAAGGGAAAATGGCAATTAAGTCCCACTCAAAGGAATTAAATACAAAAAGGTCCCTTGAAATCATGAAATTATTTTAAGGTCCCAAAAAATTTTTTGCATTAAATTTTATTTATTTACTTACCAAATTACCCTTTTTTTTTTTTAAAGTTTGCATTGACAACTGAAAGAGCAGTGGTTGACAACTCAGGGTGCAAGGATTGACAACTATCGCGGCTAGTTTGACAACTTATGGTGTAATATGCTGAGAAAATGTTGTCAATCCTTGCACCCTGAGTTGTCAACCACTGCTCTTTCAGTTGTCAATACAAATTTTAAAAAACAAAAAGAAGAATAATTTGGTAATTAAACAAATAAAATTTATTGCAAAAAGGATCCTTGGGATTTCAGAATAATTTCATGATTTCAAGGGACTTTTTTGTATTTAATTCTCTTGAGTGGGACCTAATTGCAATTATCCCTTTAATAAAAGTCATTAACTTTTTTCTGGCCTAAGTTACCCTTGTCAGCAATTAAATGTCAGAGGGTAAATTCATAAGATGACAATGATACAGCCTATTTTTAACAAGAGTAGTGATAAAAAAAAATATTGAATTGAGTTCCTATTTCTCTAATCAATGTGAAATTAGCTAAACAAAATTTATATTTTACTAATGTAATATATAAAAGTAAATATTAATATACTAATGTAATTATATATTAATCTATGGATGGAAAAAAAAATATTGGTTTATGATAGATGAATTCTTTTGGAAAATGACAAAAAAAAAGGCTTGAAATGGTCAATTCCCAATTTAAAAGGTTAAGGGTTGAAAATAACAGGGAGGAAAATAAACCTAAATTAGAATTTTGAAATTTAAGAAAAATGATAAAAATACCCATTTGTCTTTTTAAAAAAATTCAACCCCTTGCTAGAGGCCATCGCTGGTGTGGTGGTTGCCAGTAGAGTTTTTTTTTTTTTGTGGTAGAGTTTTTTTAAGCCATGAAAAATTATTTGAGGAAACTACCAATTGGTTATTTTGGCCAACAAAAAAAAAGAAGGTGATCGTGAGGCCACCAATAATTTGTTAATCTTATAATGCAAAAAAAAAAAGTTAACTCATATACTATGACTCTAGCTCGTAACAACAATTTATCTGATAATGACATGTTTTAATTGAGAAATAATAAGTCCAAACTTAATATTAACAAAGCGTTTTTTTCTAATACGTAAGAGGAAATAACATGTAAATTAATAAAAAGTGACAACAATTTATGTAAGAATGATAAATCTTGATTGGAAAATTACAAGTCCAAACTTGATACTAACGAAACTCTTTTTTCTAATATATAATGTAAAATAACATGTAAATTATTAAAAATAACTATAATTTATCTAAGAATGACAAGTCTTGATTGTGAAATGACAAGCCTAGATTTGAGAGTAACAATATTATTTTTAATTGATTCTCAAGTTTGTGGTATTGTTAATTCCAAGTCTAAACTTGTCATTTTACAATCAAGACTTATCATTCCCAAATAAATTGTTGTTATTTTAAATTGATTCATATGTTATTTCACATATTATGTACTACCTCCGGTCCTAAATATAAGAGCTAGTTGACTAATTTGAGGAGATTAAAAAAATAAGTTAAATTAGTTATTTATAATAAATAGGTGTTATTTTTTCTAAAATATCCTTGCCAATCAAGTGTATTGGCTAGAACTACCATTATTAGAAGGACTACTTTGGAAAAAAAAATGTATAAATATGAGAGACAAAGTGAATTGGGATCTTATATTTAAGACCAAAATAGAAATTAAACGAAATCTTATATTAAGGGCCAGATGTAATATAAGGATAAAAAAACACATTGTTAATTTTAAGTTTAGACTAATAATCCCCCAATTAAAATTTGTTATTCCTAGATAAATTGTTATCATTTTTAATCAATTCACAAGTTATTTCTTGTTATGTATAAGGGAAAAAAAGTGTTTTGTTAATCTCAAGTTTGGATTTGTTATTTTTCAATCAAGACCTGTCATTCCTAGATAAATTGTTGTCATTTTTAATTAATTCATATGTTATTTCCTATTATGTGTTAGGAAAAGATAGTTTGTTAATTCCAAGTTTAGACTTGTCATTCTCAATCAAGACTTATCATTTTCAGATAAAT